GTCAGTTCTCTTCATGGCTTTGGCCTTGGGGTTCTTAGCAAGCGGGTCTGCAACGTGGAGGGGCTCAGGTGCCAGTCTACCCCAGCTCCTGAAGATGCTGGGGTGAAACTTTCTTAGCTAAGACTATTGCAGAGTTGGGATAATTCAGCTACCCAGGCTGATGTCAGACTGGGAAAGAGAGAAAACACTTGAGACAAGGAACTCCGGAGCCAGAAATATCTTTCCATCTAGGGCGATAATGTTTGCGGCGTCATGGATTAGAAGCAACCGCGTTTCTCTGTTTGATGAAGTTCAGGCATTCCGTTGTAGGGATTTTTTATGGATTTATTTTATTAAAAGTATATAGCCGCCCTTCCTAACACGAGGGGCTACAGTTCACGCAGTTGAGATGGCTGGAAATCCTAGGACGTCTGAAGGCCACCAGAGTAGGGAAAACACACTCTAGAGTCTGTAGAGCTACCATGAGGAAGGTCAACTGAAGTCAAGGGTTCATCAAGCTTTGCTTGTAGCTAACCTTCTGTTACTGTGTACGTTGTTCTAATTTCTTTTCTCTGTCTTTTTCTCTCCTCCCCTCCCCTTCTCCCACTCATCTGCTCCCCCCACTTTGTCCTTTCTCGTTGGCTTGGTGTGTTCTTCCCTTCCACGTCATCATTGTCCCTTCTTCTCCCACCACCACCATCACCGCCCCTCTCAGTACAAATCAGTCTTCAGGTCTTTCTCTCAAGACTCTGTGCCACGGGGCCAAGTTTCCATCACTCCCTTTCTTTCATCTACCTCTGCCACTTCCTCCTCTCCTCCTCAGCCTTTTCCACCTGCACTCCAGTCTCCGAACTCCGACCCGAAGGCAGGGCCAGCCCCGGCTGGCCAGCCCCTTGGCACCGTGGAGCGGGCTTCCTCCTCCTCCTCTTCCTCTTCTTCTCAGGACAGCAGCATAAACAAGACTGCTTCTGTCTGCCTTCCTTCTGAACCCTCTTTCACTGATTCTCTCCAGAAGTCCTCGGTGAGAACCCTGATGGTGTACAGCTGTCCCTGTGGGTCAGGCTGTGGGGAGCATGGCTCAGCGTCCGCTGGCTTAGCTTTCTGTGGGCAGTTGGGACATCAAGTAGATAGGAGATTTCCCCATCTGGTTGCCTTTGCTGGGACTCTTGGTCATCCCAGGTGACTACTGTAAGAACATGGCCTGAGTGAGAGTGAACACCTGCGAACTCTGGCTTTTTGATAGCTGAAAACGGTTTCCTTTCTAGAAATGTGGGATATGGGCCTCCAAACAAGCCCAGCTGTTCAAATTTCAAGAACAGGTTTCCCCTGAGAAGTCATCTTTTCTTCTCCCCAGCCACTCACCCACATTTTGAGATGTACCGTTAACGGGCAATACTCTTGCAGTTATAATTCGGGTGGTGGGCTATTAAGACGCGTCCAGGTGGTTTTAGGAACCTGTTCTAAACACCCCCTCGTGAGTTGTCCCAGAATTGCTTTGGGAACAACTGGGACCTTTTTTTAAAAGTGGGGGGGGGGATTTTTGTAGCATGGGTGGGGGGCATGTCCCAAACACTGCGTAGGTTCCTGCCTGCTGTCTCCAAATAGCTGGGAATGTCTCAGTCTGTGAGGCCATCTGGTGTCACTTGTCCCATCGTGCTTTGCTGGGGGTGCTGCGTTCTTCCTGCAAGGTGGGGTCATCCCTCTCCTTCCCTCCCCTTCTGTCTCTATAGAGTGACAACGTTGGCGAGGCGGCAGGGGAGGGTGAATACGTCAATCTATATTCCTCGGGTCAAAGCAATGGGGAACTTCTCCCTCCCCGCTCTGAAGGAGTAAGTAAAACCAGGCTGAGCATTTAAGGAGTAAGTAAAACCAGGCTGACCATCATTAGTGGCTTTGCATGCTTCCTGGAAACCAGGAACAGGAATAATACAACTACCTTGGGGGGGCCTTCTCCAAAATGAGCGTGTTCCTTTGGTTGGATTTTCTTGCTCGGTAGAACCGGGCCATAGTGTAAATTGTGGTCTTGCTTCTGATCAAGCCTTGCTGTTGGGCATGGACTTCAGGAGGTGGGAAACTGTAGAAACTTAGGGCCGGAAGGAGCGTTAAGACTTGGGGTGCAATGCCTCGAATGGTTTGAAATTTAAATTAACCCGCTGAGGATATGGGACGGTAAAAAAGAAACGGCTTAATATGCTCATCTCCATGGGAAGGGCAGGTCATGAGAAACACAGAGCACATTTTAGAAAAGCTGATGTCATCTGTTGGCAGAAGTCTGCAGAAGGATGTCATATCTTTGGATTCATGAAAGGACAGAGACTTGGACCATCTATATCAGTGTTTCTCAACGTCAGCAACTTTAAGATGGGTGGACTTCAACTCCCAGAATTCCCCAGCCAGCCTGGGAAGTTGGGGAGTTGAATTCCGGGAGTTGAAGTCCACCCATCTTAAAGTTGCTGAGGTTGAGAAACACTGATATATAGTAACAAGATAGTCCAATCTTTGGAGATTAAGACCCTCATCATTCTAAATTCGAAGGGCTCATTCGCTCAGTTTTTAATTCTGCCAGAAAAGTGCCACCTTGGTGCCCCGAGTCTTTTGATTGCCGTGTCTAAAAACTCAATAAATCAAACTAAGAAGTATTGGCAGGCCTTGGGAGAAGTCCTAGACCTGCAGGGTGTAAGAAAGAAGGACGTTTAAGAAAGGGAGGATCAAAAACACCCCAAGGGGATTTAAGTATACTGAGTAAACACGGAAAATAAGCCGAATCAGGAATGGGTGGCAATGTAGGGGTGAGATGGATGTCATGCAAAAGGTGATCGGTGGCTGGCTAGAATCTGAAATAATCTGTTGTTGTTGTTAGCCTGTTTCATTGGAGATCCCCTGTTGAATCCACTTCCAACCAGTTGTGTTTCGTATCTCCCTCTATAAAGATCTTTAGCTCCCAGAATTCAGAATTCCTACCCAGAACGGGAAAAGCATTTTTTTCTCTTTTAACCACCTCTGCTAAGGACTTTCCTATCATTCTCTGTGGACTTGAATTCCCCCTCTGTCTGTTGCACTGCGTGTTTCCAGCTAGAAGATGTAAACTCTGTACTTTAATGTCTTTGTAGAAGAATTTGATGGATTTGATTGCTTGGGGATGCGAGAACTGAAGAAGTCACCAGGTTTCTCAGCAAAGAGAAAATTGGGTTCATCTACATCCGTGTATTTCAGCCTTGGCAACTTGAAGATGTGTGGACTTCAACTCCCAGAATTCCCCAGCCAGTATGCTGTCTGAGGAATTCTGGGAGTTGAAGTCCACACATCTCCAAGATGCCAAGTTTGAAAAACACGGATCGACATCTTCCGTTTCTAGAATGCATTTCTGGCCTTTTCAGCAGGCAAGTACCGATGTAGGAATGAAATTGTGTATTTGCTGAAACAAATGATTTGAATTTGGGTCGGCTTTGAGAATTGCAAGAAGGTAATAGGTGCCTTGAGCAGAATTATTTTCTTTTTTTAAGAGACAGAATAAGTGTTTGATGGCTGGCAAGTCCTTGCATGATATGACACACATAAGAAACCCCCTTCCGATTTGTGATTATCCATTCTAGAGCAACGGTCATGCTAACACCCCGGTAGCTAGCAAAGAATTTATTTTGCTAAAGCAAGGGTAACATTCTGTTGCAACAGCAGCTCGTACATATAGCACCGCTTCTCACAAACCAGGTTTATATTTTTCCCTAAGCTGTTGGGTGAGGGAAGAAGGGAATAAAAACCCCAAATGAGCAGAACAGTCTTAACTCACTAGACTGATGGTCTAGATCTTACTATGCCTAGAGAAAAGATGCACTCCCTTGAGATCTGAGTCATCTTCTTCAAATAAAACTGGTCCCTAACTACTTGTTGTAAAGTTCTGGACCTCATCCAATCCTAGTTTGCCACCTAATACATCCTAGTTTGATTCTGGTGGGAATTTTTTCCCAATAAATACGCTGATCTGTACAAGAGAATAAAGTGTCAAGAAGACGAGACAGTTCCTACCCCAGTCATCTCACATCAAACCATCAGTAGTTTTGTGGAATGTTTTTGACCAAATCTGTCCAGTGAAACATCTGGTGCAGGGGAAGGACTGGGGAGGGAGAGAAATTAGGCTAAAAAATTCCCCCCATACACACACACACAACACACACACACACCCAAGCCATCTGTCCTGCTTCGATGTCATCTCCCTGTTAGGTGACTCCTTTTGGAGACCCTGAAATGGAGGCTACATTTCCAGCCAGGTCTCCGCTCTCCTCCAGTTAGGAGGGGTTTCCCCAAAATAGGGTTGGCAAATCCAGGTCCAGGATTTTGTGTGTCCCCTCCCTGAGATGCAGCCCTTGCGCTGGCTCTGGATCCCCATCCCAGGGCAACTGCTGAAAACAGGTGGCACAGTTTTGCCCCCTTTTGTGGTAAGCGATGCACAAAAATTCTAACGGCAGCCCATAGCCTGTTGTCTATCAAGCCAGATTCTTCTTAATCTCGTGAAATATTTTGCTGGAATGTATGTGTCAGCCTTGAGAGGTATTCCAGACAGGAAGTATGGCTAGATGAGCTAATTCTACTTTATTATACGGTTACATTAACAGAATCTTGCAAGTCTGAAAGTACATTTCTCCCCGTCACCTTTACAGCCCAAGAAATTAGGGAGGGTCTCTTCTGAGCTCTTGCCCTTTCCATTATCCAGCTGAGGGCTAAGCTGCCTTTTATCTAATCATTCCCTTGGCTGCGTCTCTTCTCCCTTCTCCCAAGGTCATTCCCACATACCATTAAAGTATGAAAAGTTGGCAACTCTTTGGTGTGGATTTTCTTTCCTAAGGATTTGAAGCAGAAGAGACGTTCTGGGTGAAGTTCTAGCAGGTTCTCCAATTTGCCTTTCTCTACTCAGTTCAGAAAGGCCAAGGGGAGAACTTGCTCAGAACTTCACCTGGAGTTCTGGGTGGTATCCTCAGACACACCGGGCTAATGATACAAGTCTCCCCCCCCCAACTTTCTTCCAGGAATCTCCAGTAATTAAGGATGACCATATAAAAGATTCTGCATCTCTGAGTGGGACCCCAGGGAAGGAAAACCATGAGAATGAAAGGTGAGGTTTAACATTCCTGTTGACGGGGCTTAGTGCAGACATTTATAGGTTTACCGCAACACAGGAGGAGCAATATTCTGATGCCTTTCTCATGAGTCCTCTGCAAACGCCACATGAGAGAGTTCGGTCTTGATCCCGTTGGCTCTCCCATGTGATCT